ATCGACAAGTCAGCATCCATGACTTAAAAGCAAAAAAAAGTTCAGAACGACAAAGACAATGAAAGAAATTGTCTGCGTGCATAAGCACGATCAACCATTTACTTTCAAAACCGGTTATACCATTAGTACTCCTCCTCTCCTGAGGGAGGGGGAGAGCAGATTGAAGTTTTTCTGATGGTCCAATTCCTGGTCAGCTGAAAAAACTGTCGGTTCCAAGATTCAGCTGGTCACGTTGATACAAACATCTATACCCATATACAAATTCACATATACGTGAAAATATGCATGCTATCTTGCGTAAATTATGCAATAATATAACGTATGTTGTTCTTCAGCAACAGTACTACCATTATCATGTTAGCATACACATGCAGACGCACATGTCACTACATAAATACGTTCAAATGTGATAATAACCAAACGCTTGATAAATCTGGCATTTAATTACAGGAATGCCTGATATGCATATTGATTTGCATCTTGATACGCTTCATTATAAGGAAGGGATGCGCCCCTTAAATTACCGTAGGGCGCAGCTCCCTATAATGTATAGATAGTATTAACTGGCTGATAAGGTACGCACCAACTGCATTACGGCGACTTTATTAATCTCTGTTAATCGATGCAGAATGGCTGTGTTGTCAAGTCAGGCTTTCCTGGTTGCCGATCAGTAACTGAATTCAGTATGTTCATCTTCTAATGCTTGTAATCTCGATTACTGTGCTTTAGTCCAAAAAAGTATTCAGGACTTCAGCAAGAGAGGAGGATGAGCCAGATCGCTGTTAACAACGTGTTGCTTTTCTTATTAAAGTCAGCGGTGTGATCCTCGACAGTTATGGAACTGTTCGCTTGACTATGGGAATTAAATCCAGACTTACAAATGCTGTCGCCATACGCAAGAAGACAAAATATATGGAATGAAGTGAGATATACTTTTGATAATTGCATGCGTTATGACAAGTACATGGGAAATATGCGAATCAAGCATATGAGTACCAATAAAATAGCTGTCTCTGCATCATTTCGAAAAAATGAACACAGACTTAATGTGCCCTGAGTTTCTTACAGCAGGTTGGAGTACAAACTACTGTCTAATAAGCAGGGGTAAATGTAATTACATCCTTCAAAAAATGTGAATATTAAAATCCATTAGTTACCCGACTAAAACGAATTTGAAGCATAAGCCCAAAGTTCAAGTTAACCATGCTGCCAAAAACTCACACTGAACCCGCCCCGTGTTCTTTAAAACCATTTATAAAATACGATGGTTAAGGAGGCCCAAAAGCGGGCAATTGATGCTTCAAGGCTTTGTGTAAAAACTGATCCTCACCTTATAGAAGATAAGAAAGAGGTGGCGCGTGAAGAGGAAGAAGAGCTAAACGAGGAACATGAGCTATGGGGTGATCAGGAAGAAGAAGTGAAGAAGAGAAGGAAGAGTTAGCCACTAATCAAAAATCACATTTCGACATTATAGCTACACTCTCACATCACAACCATTAGTTACAGCTGACGAAGTACTAGACAACTACTACTGATCTCGTACGTAGTCCGCCCAAAAAATTGAAGAAAGATTACTGGCACAGAGAAACGACAGGTGCTTAACTTACTCAAGGAAAAGAAAAGGGACAGAATAAAGAAAATCAAGGTAAAAAAGGAAGAAGAAACGAACAAACGATTGGACATACAGCAATGACTTCACTTATAAAATTTTATCATACAGAAACAAGGAAGTAGTAGGAGCAAATGGAGCAAGAATAACAGAAACTTAATATCAAATTTTATGGCAATAGATTTTATTTTAATGACAAAAAACGTACAATGCAAAGAAAGAAAAATCCATTTCTTATTATACACCGATATTGTGGTAGTGTAAGACAGATGGAAATCCTACACCTGTTAGTACTTCATCACTGCACCGCCTGTTTGTTTCGAGATGCCCAAGGGACTATTTAAACCGGCAATGGTAATAGAAACGATTGGAATAATAAGAAGAAGAGCAAAATAAGACGAACAACGGGAAAATGAAGAAATCGTAGAAGACGAAGATGACGAAAAAGAATGACGACAAAATGGCGAAGAAAAATATGAAACGTGCTCTTTTATGAGATTACAAGAGTATGACCTATTTTACTACCTTAAAATTAGTGTTTCGGCTATACAGAGAATTGCTTCACTCTTAAACGTGAGTGCGTTTACGTGAAATGAACGAATGAATGAAAGCTTACATGTATCGAATGTTTACATGAAAATCGAAAACTGCTACGAACTTCGATTTGCATCTGACTTTTTGTAACTCTGGCCATAAATATTTTAAATATGAAATGTAGTCAAAATTCGGATTTAACAAAAATAGAAAGCATTTCAAAAAAAATAAATTCATACAACGCGAGAGAAAAGACGAAGAGTTTCGAGGTCTTCCAAAATATTGCTATTTTTTGTCGTGACCAAAAAAATATAGAGCTTGTCGATCGGTTGGTAAACGTAACGGACGCTGTCCGTTTCAAGAAACGTGTGTTGTCTGTGGACGGACTTTTCGGCACTGAGTAGCTTCGGGAACGCCGTCAAAAGCCCTTCGATTCGTGAACGGCTCATTTCAACGAACTGGCGGGATACAAGAGCTAAAATTGGCGATTAAATATCATTATATGATTTATTATCGGGAAAAGAGCAGATTACGATTTATAATTTGTTTAGCACAACATAAATAATGAACTCCGAAGGTAACTAGGTGCAAGGGGTCGGTAAAAATGCAGTGAAATGTAGTCTTGGACGAGTTGTGCTTATCAACATACTGGGGCGAAGGAACAATTTATCATGTTTAAGTAGAGGCACATAATCAGTAAAAGCTCAGAAAAACTTTCTCGATGACCGCAAGGTGGCTCTAGAGGACAAAATAATACGATATGCATATGGTACTGAAAATGATTAGACGCCTTGAATGGAGCTGAGGCAGCATAAATGCTCCCCCCCCCCGAGGCAGTTAGAATCAATGCGCCGTGAAATCTGGTCTTGGTAGCATTTAAACCTAATATTGACAGGTTTACCATGGTTACCAACGTTTCTCTCTGCATCACTTTAGAATCATATCAGGATTAAATTTAATAAACCGTTATCATTGGCGGCAGTCGACCGCTTGCTACCATCAGCACAAACCAACGTAAATTTCGCTGACGTTGATGATTTGAAAAATGGTCAGAATGCCAGAAAAAGACGCGAAAGCCTCTTACAAAAGACATGTGGTAAAAGGACAATGAGTAGACAAAGGCGATATGGCTCGAACGCGCTCAGCAACGGCACAGTTGCACAGATCGCTATGCCATGTTATAAAATCAGTTAAGCTTGTCCGATGATTGGCGGAGGACCAGAACCACTGGAAAAGTCTCCTGAAGCTGATAACTCTAAGGCTCGAAAGGAATCGCGAACATTGAAAACGAATGAACGATATGGGGAATTAATCAATCAGTGAATGAATGGATGAACACACTGTTAAGTGAACAGACGGACACATGAAAGAATGAACAAAAGGCTTACTATAATAAAATTAATTCCTGATGCCTTTAAAAACTTTTTGGAGATTACTGTACCTACCTTCATAAGAGTCATTCAAGTGCATAATGCTGTCAACAATGCAAGTCAACAATTCAACATAGAAGGTAGAGAATTCAGGAAGCACCAAAAGCCGATAACCTGACAAAATGAACCTTCGCTAAGGAATCCACATTACTTGGCATGCAACGGTTAAGTGAAAAACTGTGCAGTCTTCTCCGGGAAATTCTTTGGAGAAAGACGTCTGCAAAACACCGACGGGGATCTAAGAGATTTTTTACATTGCTCGCAACACGAGGCTGTGTATCTTATTCTTGAACTCCAATGAGTGCAGAGGGATAAAAATCTAATAAATTAGTAACAACTAGAATCCAACCTTGACGAGTTCTGTGTCCTCTGTACGCACGCAGTGACCTATCTTAGAGAGGAGTCCCAATTTCTCGACAGAGGTAAGACGTAATTACAATAACATCTGCTGCAAACCAACGTTATCCGAACGTTATTTATTCCATGCCCATGAACGGAATAATGCACAAATTCATACAACATGATTTCCAAATTACCAACCGGTAACGCCCAGGAAGCAACCATACGGTTCCTCAATTATCAAACAAAACAATCTATTTATAACAGATAATGAACGTTGCAAACATTTATCCGAAAATTATTCAAAATTATACCGTTGCCATTTACAATCACTTACTCGTCAGAAGATTCTGAACGTTTAACATTTTGAAAATTCAGAAAAATTTTGGGTGTCATCAAAAAAGATAAAATTCAAAACTTACGCTTGCCAGCCTTAGTGCAAATTGCAGCGGCAAGTAAGACCTAAAAAATGTCATATACGCTGAAATTTTACAAATTTACGGTACCATATTGAAACACTTCGCAGTAATATTCTTCTTCGACGCTGAGTACACCTAGCGTGGCATCTTCGTACTGTAGATTTAAATAGTGATTCGCTGGTTTTATACAAAAGGTTATTTCATACACACGCACGTTTTTAACATTTCGTTATTAAAATACTCGACACTAAGAAGAGGTGTCGGACTCAGCGTTATGACTGTGAAGATAAAGGATGACGTCTGTAGAAATCCTACAAATTAAAGCTTAATACAATCTCTGTCTAAATTATTTTATAATCATGAAGACAGGTCATGACTCACTGAATGAATGTCTACTGATGCTTGTGCGTTCCAGGAATAATACGCCTGAAAACTGAAGCTGCAGGTGAACTGCTTAAAAACATGATTCCAAAAATATGTTACATTTAAACTTGAGCAAATAGCATATATTCAAATCAACAGACAATGCGAATATCACAATCCAAACTGTAAAGCAAACTTAACAAAATCCACATACAGCGTCCATAATTAGAATGATAGGTTTAACTGTATAAGAGGAACGATGTCTCTACAATTCAAATGTTGTCTTTCAAATATTCTTCCAATTTATGCTTGTAAGGTAGAAGCATTAAACGCTTGATATCAAATGTAGTGATAAACGTCTATATATTTTCCCTTAGTGCGGATAATGAATTTTCTTTCATAAGCACAAATCAGAATTGAAGACAACAAACAATACGGTAATAACCAGTAATGACCATTATCACGCAAATGTAGGACCAAAAGGTTGACCGATGGAAAGTTAGAAAATGTTTGGCATTTTTACCGTTTATTACCTTCTTGTTTAGAGCGACGCAATTTTTTTTAGTTTCTTGCAGCAATCAATCGAATCTTAAGTTTTTTGATTGAATCAAATTAGTTAGGCTGAATTTCTAATTACTGTTCGATCCACGTCCGCGTAGAAAAATTATGACCCTGAGCCGCGATAGGAACCTATTCGAAATCCAGTTAGAACACTAAGAGCATTATCATATTCGATGTCGTACTAGAAGTAAATCTGCCCTGAAGTACTTCTTACTAATGACATTATGCAACTGGGAACACATAATCCTAAGCTTCAGGAAAACGAAGATGTCTCAAAGAGTTTTCACACTGAAAATATAAAAGCCGGTGAGCATGCGCTTAGAAAGTTTCCTTTTCGCCCTTTCACAAATGACGTGGTCAAATGTTGTCAGAAGCTTTATTCTACATATGCATAGAGAAAAGTAGTAGATATGTGATTCTTGCTTGAGTGCAACAGTGAAGTGATTCTGATCATGGAAACTTGTTTCAAGGAGCCGTGGCTTGCCTAAATTGTCAAATCGGTTACTAGTGACAAGTTGGTTGCGCAATGCACCTTGAAATCTATTTTGTAGAAGCCACGGGGTGCTAAACAAATCAAGTGTACGTTTCCTTTACATTCAACGCGGGAGATAATCAGGTAAGTACTGTACGCTACGAATCTCATCATGACTTTGATTGGTTGAGACCATGTTTTTCTACGAAAGGGAAATTTAACGTGGTTGTCTGCTGTGCTATCATTTTGCACATACTGAAGATTAAACGTATGCTTTCATCTGGCCATTTCTTATGAATGATGCTATACAACCTAAGATGTTAAATGGTAGATCAGATTTTTAGAACCACCTGGGAGGGCCACCAATATAGATGGATTTTAGATGTATTTTGCCTGGCAGAAAAATGCTCAGTGTTTTTCTGATGGAAAATGTGCATTTGAAACGTTTGAATCGCATATTCCCGTTGGTGTGGTTGTAATATCATCACAATTAGCTTTTGTTTGATTTACTGCTACATGAGTCTCCAAGACTTGTCCATAAATTTCTGTTTTTTTTCGATTCTTATCTTTCCTAATCCAACAAACTTAATCACTTCATCCTGCCATCGATCTGGAGGTCTTCTGGACCATTTACTCTCTCGGAACATAGCCTTAATGTCTCTGATCTAGTGATGGTCGGTTCTTCTGGCAACGTGTCCTGCCCATTTCGACTTCAACTTCTTCATGCTAGCAGTGACATCGTTAACTCCTGTATGTGTTCCTGTGCATTCATTCATCTATCTGTTTATTCTTGTAACGTGGTATATCTTATAACATAATAAGATATCAGTGGAATATTTATGCATGTAATGCGTCGTTCTTTGAAAAAAACCGAACATGATCCATAACGTTAAAGAATACGTAGTAACTAGTATATTTTTTTGTTCTGTCTTTTCTTAAAGGAGTATTCTTCTTTCATTTAATGTTTAGTCGCGGTACTGGAATTAAGTTTTTAATGTCTTCTTTTGCGATAAAATTCAAAGTCAGTTGAACTGTAAAACTAAACGATTCTGTTTTTTTAGATACTTATCTGTTGCTGATAACCTGTGCGAAAGCATGGCTTAACGTTTTTGTTTGCTCTCGTTCATGGCCCAGTACATTAAAAACCAAATTGTAAAGCACCTGTCGCGGTAAGCTTGCATTGGTGATTTAATCATGTCATCCAGATTTCTGTGACGATCATTTTACCATATTACACGTGACTCAGTTTAGGTTTGCCAAGAACATCGCCGCTGACAAGATCACCGTTGAAGTGCTGAAGGGCAGAGGTGAGCTATACAACATTGAGCTGAACGAACTGGTCCTCACCGAAGTGCTGGAACTGCCGGCATGGATGCGAATCCAGCGTGCCGTTTGTAGTCGCATCATTCTTAAGGTAGTCAAATGACATTCCGTTTTTGAACGCACGTTGCTCACTGCCGACATGTTTGTAGATTCCGTGGACGCGGTTAAACAAAAGCCCGATCGTGCTGGTATGCAGGTGTTTGTTTTCTTTGATGATCTTTTGTTAATTTTTTTAATCGTTTAGATATTCGATGACCTTTCAGCAAATCTTTTGTTAGTTGCGTCTATCTTTTGATTTACAAAGTTGGATCATTTCTTGGAAATTCAAATCGAGCATCTTTCTTTTGTTAAGATCGGGGCTTACTCACTCGATAGAGCATCGGACGGTGATGTTGATTCGAAAACCCGTCAGGTCACTCTTCCTTTCGAGGTTGATCAACAACTGTCAATCATTAACCAGGAAATTGGAGACTACTCACTATGCATGTCACATAATTGCAGACTGCCTATTAAACGACGCTGTCTTGGCTGAAGGGATGGAAATGGAGGTCTGCGCCCCAAGATTAACTTTATGAAAAGAAAGGCGCCATTAATCACCTCATCATAGTTCTAAGCTAGAACCATTCCCACGGTTGCAAACTTTTTAAAGCAGTGCTAGGTTTCTTCGACTAGTTTGCTCTATTTACTGCCTTGCATTCTATATGAAGGCGGTTTCAGCACGTACATCCATAATTAACCAAAGCTGAATGCTGCTGGAAACGGGAGATTGAGGTTGATTAATTTATTGAGGTTTTAGTTCTTAAGAGATAATAACTATGTTCCTTAGCTGAGTAACACATCTAGTCTAAATTTAATGTAGAAAACGGGCATTAGGTTGAGTTTTTGCAACATCTGACTAAGTATAATTCAGCATTCTTTGCATGTTCATTTTTCCCTTTAGCTGCATGTTTCGAATCGCATCGCATCACACTAATTTAAGCAAGTTATAAATGACTGAAGAGTATAGAAGTAACTCTTAGCGTGTTTCTGTCTCTGTTGCGTGATCTTGTAATCTTTGTCCTGCTTTTCCTTTTAGAGCAGAGGCTTGTTGACAGAACCATGTTAAATTTGGTTTTAATTTCAGCTAATTGACGAGGTCAGAGTCGAGGTTGTGTTGTCCAGTGAACTGAGGCATGGGCGCATGACCGATGAAAAGACGTTTAGCTCATACAGGTTCGTATTAGTTTTGTATATTTTCATTTTATAACATATTTTCTGTGACTGTCCAGTGATATGTTTAGTAGCGACGAGATGAGCTATGGTTTTGCGGCACACGTGATTGAAGGCATGAGTTTGTTCATAAACGCGATCGAAGTCGTGTTTACCTCAGAGATGTTCGGCGGTTCGCTGTTGGTGAGAAATTTTCTCTTTTTTAAAGCCAGTGTTTTTTAGACATATATTCGATTATCGCCTTTGTAGCTGTCGCGTATCACAGTGGAAAGTTGCAACCCTCATTGGAAAGATGCTTCAGATTTGAGGAAAACCCGTCTTTTGGAGCCTACTCAGAATCTAGTGCTTCTTTTCAAGCGTATTTCCTGGCAAACCCTTCGCCTCGAGGCTTCTACCCTCGGCAGCTCGATCTCCACAGGATACAACATCAATGCACCTCTGCGTCTCATCACAAGTCTGGGTCGGTGCAGAATCACCTCGAAAAAGTCCGTTAGAGGTAAGTCTTGTACAAGGTTTAAAACGTACCCGTCTGTTTGCGGCGTTTTGTACTTTATCTTCTTCATCATCTTCCATCGCCGCTTCTCCTTTCAGGTCGCGGAGGCGTTTTGTACTCATCTTTGTTTTTCCGTATGACGCATTACCATTTTTTAGTATTTACTCGTACACATTCATTGATGTCACCGATCATAATAATGGACTCCGCAGTCCGCTTATTCTTTGCAGATCTCATTGTATTCCATCCAGGAAGGAGGCCTATTTTTTCTTCATATTTACCACATGTGTATGTGTATTAAGGCCGAGGATTCGGCCAGTTGCAATCTGAGTCAGAGAATTCTCATTTTCTCTAACAGGCCTCTAGTCAATGACTCTGTCAGCCAAAGAATCTACATCTAAGTAGAGAATAGTTTCCATTCGCTGAGGTTCAAACTTCCAGAGTTCTGACATCTCGTTAACGAAAATCCAATTATATCCAGTTGGTGTCTTGCGGCCTCATCAACTAGCTCATGCTGTGTTTTGCTCTGAGATGCTCCAATTTGTTACCGTTAGTTCCTACTCTTGGTGTCGTTCTCGTTAAACCTTATCTGACCTGCCATAATGGCACCGGGCTATCTGCCTCCTCCGTACAAGATGAAAAGCGATTCTGCTGCTTAATGGTATTTTCGTCAGCTGCTTATAGGTCTTCTGCGGCTGTCGCCGAGCTGCTGCTCCCCCAGTTGCTGGATGGTGGGAACCACTTTCAGATTACCGACTTTTCGTATTTTGTCTCGTTTCCCCAGCAGCCTGTGCTGCCCCTGATGACCGAGCCAGTATAACGTTTGATTCTTGCAGTATCATGAGTACCACTTGTCAGAGTTGTTCCCCACGGTTTCTAGCCCTCGTTGTTTTTCATACAGGCTTTGGACAACAGGACAAACGGCAGAGTTTGTTTGTTTCAAAAATTATTTAAGTTTGAAATACTCAATCTTCGGACACAAATACTTTTAGATGTATTCCTAACGACATCGCAGCTCATCTTGATTCTGCACCCTGCACTTAATTGGCGGTGCTTTGGTGCTGTGGCTTTAGACGCTGTGGAAGTCAGTTCGAATACAGCAAAATCTTTGTAATCTCCAATGTTTCGACCGTACAAACTGCCGTGTTATTAAGGGTTAAGCAACAG